ATTGTCAAAATGGCCATCCTGCCTAAAGCAATCTACAGATTCAGTGCAATCCCTATCAAAATACTGACAGCATTCTTCAATGAACTGTAACAAATAGGTTTAAAATTCATATGGAACCACAAAAGACCCAAAATAGCCAAAGCACTCCTGAGAAGGAAGAGTAAAGCTGGGGGGATTATGCTCCCCAGCTTCAATCTCTACTACAAAGACACAGTAATCAAAACAATTTGGTACTGGCACAAGAACAGACCCATAGACCAGTGGAACAGAATAGAGAGTCCAGATAGTAACCCAAGCATATATGGTCAATTAATATATGATAAGGAGTCATGGATATACAATGGGGAAATGACAGCCTCTTCAACAGCTGGTGTTGGTAAAACTGGACAGCTACATGTAAGAGAATGAAACTGGATTACTGTCTAACTCCTTACACAAAAGTAAACTTGAAATGGATCAAAGACCTGAATGTAAGTTATAAAACCATAGGACTCATAGAAAAAAACATAGGCAAAAATCTCTTGAATGTAAACATGAGCAACTTTTTCCTCGACACATTTCCTCAGGCAAGGGAAGCAAAAAGAAAAATCAACAAGTGGGACTCATCAAACTAAGAAGCTTCTTTACAGCAAAGGACACCATTAGCAGAGCAAAAAGGCATCCTACAGTATGGGAGAACATATTTGTAAATGACATATCCAACAAGAGGTTAACATCCAAAATATATAAAGAATTCATATGCCTCAACACCCAAAGAACAAATAACTTGAATAAAAAATGGGTGGAGACCTGAATAGACAGGTTTCCAAGGAATACAGATGGCCAACAGGCACATGAAAAGATGCTCCATATCACTAAGCATCAGGGAAATGCAAATTAAAAGCACAATGAGGTATCACCTCACACCATTTAGGATGGCCACTATTCAAAAGACAAGAAATAAGAAATGCTGGAGATGATGCGGAGAAATGGGATCCCTCCTACACTGTTGGTAGGAATGTATATTGGTGCAATCGTTGTGGAAAGCAATATGGAGGTTCCTCAAAAAACTAAAAATAAAAAGACCATTTGATCAAGTAATTCCACTTCTGGGAACTTACCCAAAGAGAATAAAATCCCTGATACGAAAAGATATATGCACCCCTATCTTTATCACCACACTGTTTGCAATAGCCAAGATATGGAAGCAACCTAAGTGTCCATCAATAGACGAATAGATAATGAAGATGTGGTACATAGACACAATGGAATATTATTCAGCCACAAAAAGAAAAGAAATACTGCCATTTGCAACAACATGCATGTATCTAGAGGGTAGTATGCTCAGTGAAATAAGCCAGGTGGAGAAAGACAAATATGAAATGATTTCACTCATTTATGGAGTATAAAAACAAAGTAAAACAGAAAGGGCAAAATAGCAGTGGACTCATAAAAAGGAAGAGGGGTCTAGTGGTTTATTAGGGGGAGAGATTGTGGGGGCTGGGGAAGGGAATAAGGGGCACAATAATTTGCAATCACAACATAGGTTGGTCACAGGGACAGAAGTACAGCACAGAGAAGTTCTGTAACATCTTACTATGTTGATAGTGACTGCACTAGAGGGGGTGAGGATTTAATAATATGGATAACTATTGAACAACCATGTTGTATATTGGAAACCAACATAAGAATGTATATTAATGATACTTGAAACAACAACAACAAAACTAACCAACAGTGTTAGAAGTCAGGATGGTAGTATTCTCAGTGGGGTAAGTGACTGGGAAGGAAGACAAAAAGAGCAACAGGAAGTCTGGCAGTGTTGTTTCTTGATCTCAGTGCTGGTTACATGAATGTGTTTACTCTGAAAATTCACCAAGTTGTACATTTATTATTTGTGCACTTGTCTGTACAATTGTTATACTTTAATTAAAAGGAAACTTTACAGTAGGCAAAATAATGCCCCCTACAGAGTTGTCTACACCGTAATCCCCAGAACCTGTGACTATGTTAAGTGCTAAAAAAAGAAACAACAGAAGCCCAAAATGGAGTCATTTGCCCCTACAACACCAAATCAAGATTTACAGTTTCAACCTATCCCAGGAGTGTGACCTTTTAATAGTAAATCTGAAGCTTCTTAATCAGCACTAGTGAGGAAATACACATGATAAAATCCCTGCCATCCACCCCCATCACCTAATAGAAGAAATCCTGGCCTCAAACAATCCTTTATTTTCTTTTGCTGATCATTTCCTTGCCCCATTTTCCTGCCTATAAATACCTTCCATTTTGTACAGCTCCTTGGAACATCTGTGTGCTCAATGGCATGCTGCCCAATTCCTGAGTCACTTAATAAAGCCAATTAGATCTTCAAATTTACCCAGTTCAAATTTTGTTTTTTAACATAAATTATATAGCAAAAGGAATTAAGGTTGCTAATCACCTGACATAAACAAAGGGAGAGTATCTTGGATTACCCAGGTTAGTGAAGTATAATCACAGGGGTCCTTAGAAGTGAAAAGGTGAGGCAGAAGAGAGAATGAAAAAGAGACACACATGAAGCACGGAAAGAAATAGATGCTGCATTGCTCGCTTTGAAGATGGAGGAAGGGGCCACCAGCCAAGCAATACAAGCAGCCTCAAAAATCTGAAAAAAGACAAGGAACTAGATTCTTTCCTAGAGCCTCCAGGAAGGAATCCAGTCCTTTGATTTTAGACCAGTGAGACCTGTTGTTGGACTTTTAACCTTTAGAACTGTAAGATAATAAACTTGTGTTATTTTTAACCCACTAAATTTGGGTAATTTCTTAATGCAGCAATAGTAAACTAGTACAGTTGGTGTGGGAAGTGATCAAGTGTTCAGTTTTTTATGTGTTCAAGGAATCTGAATGTGTTAGACATCTAAGGGAGATGTCCAGTAGGCAGTTGGAAATATGAGCCTGAAATTTAGGGGAGAGATATGGGCTGGAGATATAAATTTTGGAGTTTTTAGCGAGGAGAGGAAAGTGAAAAGAATGGATTAAATTTAAAAAAGAAGTAAGTGTACATAGAAAAGAGCCTGTCTAAGGACTGAGCCTTGGACCTTACTCTGAGTAGTATTTCATTCTATGCATGTAGCACATTTGTTTATCCATTTGCCCACTGACAGACATTTGGATTGTTTCCAGTTTGGGACTATTTTAAATAATGTATAATTGCTCCTTTCTAAAGCAGGAAGAAGAGTGATCCCATCTAAAGCAAGTTGGGTTTTATTTTGTACTCCTAGTGGGGCATCAGTACCACGACAGAATCCTTTTTTACACCACCCAACTCTGATGACTGACATATCGTCAGTGGTTAAAAGCTAACAAGCACTCCAAAAACAAGGCATACACCAAGATGTAAACACAGAGCTAAGTGGCAGGTCAGAGGCAGATTCTTAAGCTAGGCTTGTAAGAACAGGCAGGTATTGGAGGCAAGAGTGAATGACAGATTCCAAACACAGGGAAACGGTCTTGGGAACAGGAATTAGGAACTCAAGCATATGTTTGGCAATAAAGGTGAGAAAAGTACAGAGTCTGGAAAATACATTCTAGCTGTCAACAAAATGAGACTGGGGCCCTGAGCCAGCTTTCTCCCTTGGGCTTCTATTGCATCCTTAACTTGGTACTAACCCCCTGTGGGGTCTATCTGTAGCTCTCTACTTATCACTTGCCATTTCACTTCCTTTTTCCTTAATTGCATATGATACAATTGCACAGAAATATGTTCAATTAATTCTAAGACATGTTTTTTTCACATATTAACACCTCTGAAATCAGGATGCATCTTGAAATTGATGGGGTGTCATAGTTTAATTGGTAGCATTTGTTTCTCTCCTGGTATGTAAAATAATGGTGACCTTAGATTCAATTGTATCAGAGTTGATGAAATACAACTGCTCTATCATTTAAGGTAATATTTTTCAAATTTTGCATTTTATAAAATTGGGGGGCTGGCTTTTACTGAAGTATAAATTTACACAAAATACTATTCACCAATTTTAAGTGTACAACTCAATGAGTTTACATGAATGTGTGCAATCATGCAACCACCATCATAATCATAAGAACATTTTCTTAGCTCCAAGTTTCCTGGAGCTTCTCTGCAGTCAGTTGTTTCTCCTCATCTGGTTCCTTAGCAATCACTGATCTGCTTTCCATCAACATAGTTTTACCTTTTGTAGAATTTCATACCATGACATTGCACAGCATATATTCTCTTTGTGTCTGAATTCTTTCACTCAGCACTCATTGATGGACATATCAGTTCATTTTTATTGCTGAGTAGTATTTAATTCTATGAATATCACATTTTGTTTATCCATTTGCCCATTGACACATTTGGATTGTTTAGTTTGGGGCTATTTTAAATAATGTATAATTGGCCCTTTTAAAGCAGGAAGGAGAGTGATCCCATCTAAAGCCAAGTTAGGTTTTATTTTCCCCTTGTGGGGTATCACTACCATGATAGAGTCCTTTTTCTTAAAAAGGAGTGATGAAAACAAATCTCACGTATTTTGGTCATTATCACCCCTTTAAGTATCTGTGAAAGGTGTTTACTAAAAAATCTGTGAATTCTAATCCATAGAAGGGAAAGAAATTCTAAAGCTTCTGAAAGCACACTTTTACAAACGATAAAAAATACAAGTCCTTCCCCTGGTGAGGCAAAACTTTGGATAAACATCGGATTTATCTGAGGAAAACGAAGCCCGCAAAACCTATCTTTTCATCTGAAAAATACAAAACTTTCAAGATTCAGAATTCCGTTTACTTACAAATAGAGATATCTACAACTCCAGAATGCCCTGCCCGAAATGGGTTACTGTTTTGTATGCCGGGATTTGTAGTTCGCGAAAGCATCGCCCTAATCAAGATGGCTGAGTAGCTAATGACGTCCGAAGACCGGGCCCTGAGAGTCCGGGCCGCGAGCCGATTGGACAGTGCGATACGGGAGGCGGGAGATTAAGACCAGAAATTAGAACCTTTCCACAGAAGGAAGCCTGGGCGCCTTGAAGTCTCGCGAGATCCTGGCTGGGCCCAATGGAACACTGGCCCCAGCTTAGAACTAAGGGCGATTGTTGGGGGCGCGCGAGTGGGTGGCGAGCAACATTTAGGCCCGTTTGCGGCCGTTGAGAGCAAAGAGCCGTAGCAATGAAGGAGGAGAGAGAGCATAGGCCTAAGGAGAAGCGAGTAACCCTCTTGACTCCCCCGGGGGCCACAGGCAGCGGCGGAGGGGCTTCGGGGGACAGCACCAAAGGGGAAGACAAGCAGGATCGAAACAAGGAGAAGAAAGAGGCGCTGAGCAAGGTTCTTGACTGGCCGTTGGCCCAGGAAAGGGCGGGACGGGTCCGCCACCCGTGGAGGATGGTTGGGAGTGGGGCTGTCCGCTTTCTCACCCAGCTTCTCCCTCTTGTTCCTTCACCTGAGTGAAAACCGCATCACCCTGTCCCATCCACTTGCCCAAAATGGGGGAAGCCCCCGGGTGGGTGTGAGGAAAAGGGGGGAATCCCAGACGAGAAGGTTTAGGTCACAGCTGTGAGATGGCAATGGGACGGGGAAGCAGTGGGTAAAAAAGACGAGGAATTAAAACGTTACTTGGGGGGAATTACTAAACAGTGAAGGGGCCATCGGGTGGGAGTAGTTTGTGGGCGTATTAATGGAGGCGAGCTGAGGGAGTGTGGGGGGATTAATGGTCTGGGGCCAGATCGGGTGCATCCTGTTTGGGGAGCAATAAGGGAATTTTGGTATTCCTTAGAGTTTTGAATTCTTTATGCTGAATGAGAGGAAGGGTTTTGTTTTCGGATGTGTTGGAGGTGTAGGGAAATAATCAAGAACTCGTGGCATCCTCAAAAGACCAGGGTTGGTCTACTAATCTCTTAACACTACTAGTATTTTTTGAAAGATGTGCGATAGAAAATGTGAAAACCTAGTGAACTGCGGGGCTTCGGGTTAACTGAACCTGAAATTTTCCTTTCTCCGTGCAGTTCTTGTTTCTAAGAGTTTTTAAAAACCGCGTTACTGTTACGTTTGACTTGTTTTGAGCATTGAAAGAATATTTTGTCCTAGGTTTGTATAAATTATCTCATCATCTTTTAAAGCCCAGACTTCTTCAGGGGTGGTGATTTCTTTTAGGTATGACAGAAAATTGCTTTGTACTAATTTTTTTTTCTTACACATTTTTAAGGTGGTAATTAGGAGATTACCTCCTAGTTTGACCAAGGAGCACCTTCAGAAACATCTTCAGCCTCTGCCCGAGCATGATTACTTTGAGTTTTATTCCTAATGATACTAGGTAAAACAAATAAATAAAAGAGGGAAGGGGGTAAATTAAAAATAGTTTCTCCCATTCTTTTTTATCCCGTTTTCCATTTGATTTTTCAGCCTGTCTCTTTAATGTATGCCTACTTGTAATTCAGCCAGATACTTGCGAGCACATTTACATAATTGCTTTCCTCTCTGCTGTCTTTATCCTCCTATGTACACCAGAGCATACATCAGCTTTAAAAACCATTAGGACATTATTTTGTTCAGGGATCTCTTTGACGGTTATGTATTCCTTGACAATAAAGGTGTGTCTTTGAAGCTGAAGGGGAGTTTATCATTCATATGTTTTAACATTGCATTACAGTGTTTCACAGTTTTCTTAATGCCTTCGTATCTTTTCTAAAATTCTGGGTGATAAAATGTGCAACGTTTTTTAAAGAGTTGTTACACATTTGATAATCATTATAGTTTTATAAATAAATACATGACTTTTCACAGCCATCCGGTATTTTTATTAACTTGCTATTTCTGTAGTTTGATCAACTGAATGAAATTGCTGCTCTTTTCTCTTCTGTGACAAATTTTTTGCCCTGGATTAGGTGATCTATTTACTAGTTTCAGCAATAATACTGATAAATGACTCTCTAAACTTGTATGACAAATTTTAAATAAATACTTCTCATCTTGGTTCAAGGACCAACATTTATTAACTTAATTCAAATCCTTTAAGCCAATAGTTCCCAGGTGGAATACTGTTTAACATTTTAAGTTGTACCTAATTAAAATATTGAACCTGATGATCTCCCACTTTGTATCCAGGAGTCTGTAGGGAATGCCCTAACTCATTTTATTTATTATCTGCTGCTTATAACATTTAGCCAGAGAATGTCTAAGCTGCCATTTTCCACTTTTCTTTTGGCTTTGCAATCATAGGTGAATGATGTGTCTTTTTGTTGTTTTTTTTCAGTATCACTTCAGAGTTTGTGAAAATGAAATCTTTGTCAGGAAACATGTCAGTAGAAGTTGAAGGGTTGCCACTGTGTTTATCCAGCTTTTATTAATCCTCCCCACCCCCAGTTTCTCCTCAAACTAGCTACTTCTCCATTCAGACTTTATTCCAGTAGACAGTGATTTCCTGGTAATCTGAGCTGTGTTTAACTTTTTCCTCTTTCACATCTTAACATTAAACAAATAATGAATCTTTTCATTTTACTGTTTTTTAATATCTTGTTCACCTAGGCTTACCAAAACTTTCACTTTATATTGTCATCACCTATTGCTTAATAACCACTGTATCTAAGCTTACGGGATTTTGAATTTTTTCCATTTCTATGTAATTCAGTCCATTAAATTGCCATGAAATTAGTCTTTTTGAAATACTCATTAAAGATATAACAGTTGTGGGAAAAATATCCAAACTCCTTGCTAGCTTGCTAGGCAGAATCCTCCACAGTTTGGCCTCACTTTTGTTTTTTCAGTTATCTTCCACTGTTTTCTTCTGATTCAGTCTGGTTTATCTATTCCTTCTCACATATATCAGTTATTAAGCTAATCTGATTCTGCATTCACTAGAATTTCCAAAATCATGTTTCTTCCATGACTGCCTTCTGATACCTTCTGGTCAATTCTAGTTATTTTATTGTGACTTATTCTGTATGCCAATGATCTGACCATAGTGTTTCATATCTTGTATGACATTACTCTATAGCAGCGATCTGGTGTATTTTTTTCCACTAGTCACTTTTTTTTTAAATTGAGATACAACTCACATATCATACAACTCAGTGGTTTTTAGTGCTTTCACAAAGTTGTGCCACCATCACCACTATATAATTCCAGAACGTTTTCCTCACTCAAAAAAGAATCCTACATCCATTAGCAGTCATCTCCCCTTCTTTCCTCCCCCTACAGCTTCAGTAGATACTAATCTAGCTTGGATTCTGGACATTTCATACAAGCTGAATCATACAATGTGTGGCCTTTTGTGATTGCCTCTTTTACTTAGCATGTTTTCAGGTTTCATCCATGTTATATAGCATGTGTCATTACCTCATTCCCTTTTTGCATTTTTGAAAATTGTGGTAAAATACATAAATTACCATCTTAACTATTTTTTTTTTTTTTTTTT